CAATCCCGTGTTTTCCCGCTCTTAAAAATAAGGCTGTTAGAAGACAGACTTGTTTTGAGCCTGAATTTAAAAGTGCGTTTCAGCATCAGCCTTTGTGTGCTCCCAAACCATTTTTTCCATGGTATACTGCGACAGCCTGTACGTAGCACAGCCTCTTTTAAAGACAGAAGGGTGAGATTTTTTTATTAACTAAATATTTAAATTGAGCAAAATGCATGTGGTTGAGAAGTTCCCTTTCTGGAGCATATCTCACCTTTTTCCTCCAGGGGTGGCAGATGTGGCTGTGGCCTCCCCCTCCCCTGGGGCTACCCGCTGGCTGGGGCTGACTACTGTCCCCCGCCCCAGTTTAAAACTGCGGGGGGTGTGTGTGTGTGTGTATGCGTGTGGAGCCCAAGGTTTGCAAGGTGAGGCTGGGTAAGAGTTTTGTCTCTCAAAAAGCAAATCATAGCATCGTTTCCTTGTCTGGAGGGTTTGATTTTGGATCCCTGCAAATGATTCAGTTTTGCTTCTAAAGTAGTTTGGCTGGCTTGTAAAGCTGGGGGATGGCTCGCTCTCATCTGTGCCTGCGCAGACCTTGGCGTGGGATGTGGGAAGCTGATCTTTTGGCTTTTCCCCAGCAGGAATTGAACTTTCACATGGTGTATATATATACTTCTAATTACTCTTCATCCCTATTTAGAGCTTGTGTATAGCTTGATATGACAGAAGTGATCTGAGACGCTCCTTTTCCTGTGTCCATTCTGTGTTCTTACTGAGTCCTGTGCTTTGTTTCCTCTGGGTCCTTATTTAAAAATACTCTGTGAGTGCTTCTGTCATTGCATGATAAGAGCCTTACTCTATAAGGACCCTCTCCACAAAAGGTCCTGCTCAGTGGATGCCTGCTGGGGCCGGGCTTTCCCACTGTTTCGTGTTTGAGATGTGATGGAGCTGCAGCCAGTGTTGATGAGAGCCGGTGGTGAGCAAAGCAGTGCTCCTGCAAGGTGTTTCTGCTCTGGTGTTGCCATCACTCGCCACTCATGGATGCAGTTGAGGGCTTTGACATGCCTCAGCACAGCCTGAGATTTGCTGGGTGCGGACTGCCCGGGGAGAGCAGCCTTGTCCCCCCCACAGGGCAAAGACACCCCATTGTCAGCCCTGCCACAGGCCCTGGCCTTTGCCAGTTGTCCTCTCCTGGGGCTACCGAGGAGTGCAATCTGGGGCCACCTGTGTCTCATTCAGGCCAGCTGTGCAGACTTCCCTTCTGGACTCTTCTGCACAACCAGGCAGTAAAGGAGAGCTTGGATTGGTTCAGGTGTAGCTTTAGGGAAACAGCCCTAGCTCAGTGGTCCATATCCCTACACCCTAAAGGCATCGGGATGCCTTTGTCTGAGGGAACCGACAAGTCAGCTCTTGGGAACTTAAGTTTTCCAGGGCAGTGCGGTAGCCAGTGCTGTCTGTCTGCCATACTATATTAACGCTTTGATGCAATCTACATTTCCTTTTTAAAATGTGTTATTTTCCTATTTTGAGATTATTCGTTACAGTAACCTTTGCATAAGTTTATCAATTTAAATAGACCTCAGTCCAAACATGAGGCTGTTCAGTGAACGCCACTACCTTTGCTTATGTCATTGCCCGAGGATAAACATTTCAAGTCAGTAGGTAGACCCAAGTGTTTAGCTTTTTTACAGCTTTGAGCATCTCCCCTGTAATTACAGTCTCTTAACATTTTCCCTTCTCAACTTTTCTGTGCTCAGCTGCTTCTCAGTGTACCTTGTGCAGGCAGCAGAAATGAGAAAATGAGCTGTGTTCACATGGTGGAGTGTGTCTTCCCCCAGGGCTGGTGTGAAAGACACTTTCCTTTGCACACCTGCAGCAAGGCACTGGTTAAAGCAGTAATTAATCTTGACCTCCCACTGAACTGGCTTTTTGGGAGCAAGTATATTCACAGGTTTAATCTTTGTGTTTTTACATGGCACTTTTTAGGAAATAAGATTTGGTGCAGCTGTCATGCTGATATAAATTATCCATCAAAACTAGGTGATAGAATGGACAGATACACAATCTGCAGCTTATGTCGTACTGGTCTGTAGCCTACCAGATACAGATTTTAAAAAGGGTGGGCAGCACCAGTGGCTTCAGGAAAACTAGACATTGTGTTTTGACTGCCGAATGATAACCCTTAGGACTCTTGTTGCCCAAGCAGGGAGCAAAATGTGAGTAAAGAAGATGATGTCTATCTCCAGATTGAGTGAAACACAGTTGTGGGATCTGAAGGTCCTCCCCTGCAAGATGTAAAACGGGTGTCTAGAGCTAACCTGCTCAGGAACAAGTTGTGGCTGTTTTCCTCCACTCCCATAACATTGTGAGGCTAGAGAAGGTACAAACCTAGATACTTGTCACCAGCACACTCCGATGAAGAAGCAGGAAATCCAGGCCGGCCATCGAGGAGGTGGATTTCAAGGGGGATTCTGATTCACTGTGAACAGAGAATAGTTTCTTTGAGAATTCAGCACAATAGCAGCTATTTTCAAATGTTAAAAAAGCAAGGTGAAGTCACTCGGATAGAAGGAAAGTCTCAGATGTCTCCCATCACAGTATGAAGCAGATGTGGTCTGAAATGTTCCCTTCCTGTGTTTGCTAACTGCAAATATTATCAACACTGATTTATTAACCATAATGGGTATTTGCACTTGCTATGCAATAAACTCATCTAAAAGCTCACTCATGAAAAACATGTTACTGCAGGTACCCCATTTTGCTCATCAGCCCAGACATCAAACGTTTTCTTCACGGGGATGATGGGAGGTGCTGGATGAACCCATTTGCCAGAGGCTTTTGCGCCTTTTTGGTGATATTTTGCAGTACACAGGAATATCCCATTTCTCGGCTGGGGTAGCCCTTGACTACAGTGGTATCTTAGCGAAGAGCTTCGCTCCCAAAAACTTGAACCTTTACCTTCCTAACAATTTCAACTGTAGATTTTGGGGGTGAACAGCTGCCATGCAGCTGAACAGCCTGCTTTCTATAAGGATGCAACTGCTGTAATAATGTGACCATCAAATGCAGCTTAGTCTCCGTTTATGAGAGCACTGCAAATGTGTCTGTACTTGCATTGATAGGAGGAAAGGGGGACTTTGCACGACACGCTCTGCGGAAACAGCGGCAGAACTCTTACTGCCATTACATACTGCCTCAACCATACCGTTTTGTCTTTCATCAGCGCCTGCACCTCCCAAAGTTTCCTTCCCTGGGTTTGTTTTATTTTAGGCTGAGAACTGTTGCTTTTAGGTTGTCCAGAACTGGGGATATCAAGGCTGTTACTTTCGTTCTGGTTGGGCAGGAGAGATGAATATGTAGGGAAGAACCAGAGCTGTGCCTGTGCCATCCTAGTTTTGCACACAATTGGAATTGGGTCCTTTTCCGTATTGTCTAAACAAGAGGCTAATTAGTCAGCAAGCTCGAGCTCCTGGAGGATAATTAAGCTTTATAACTGTGGGTTCTCTTTCGTTGATGAGAAAGAGGAGACAGTACCCTCAGAGCCTAAGAATGCTGCTCTGCAGCTACTGTGCTGTACCTCATAATTGATCTATTGTTTTAACAGCAGATAATTCCTCATTTCCTCATAATTACTTCTTTTTAGTGCCTCACGCTGTATCCTGATATTAGCTGTAATCACTGATAATTTACCCTGAAGCCAATCAAAATCTGCAAAGCAAAATATTGGCCTTGGTGAGCATTTATGCTTTCAGATAAAATTCTCTTTTGTTGTTGTCAAGAGGAATCAAGCCATTGTAGTTACACATTTTTTGGATGTGGGTGTTGAACTGGGTATAAACTTGTTTGGTTTTGTTGCTGTTCATTTATGTTAATGACTGACTAGTGCCGAAAGACAAAAAGAGCTACTGCTGAATCCTGTTTCTGTGTTTTTGCCCATAGAGGCATTGTATTTATTTGGTTTCAGGGGATTATATTACTCAAAAGGTAGTGTGTGGTGCTTTAGATTCTGAATGCCTGTTGGCCCTTGCCTGTAGAGAGTTAGCTTTTATGAGCTTGAAAGCCTCTGGCCCTATTTTATGAAATTACGGCTCACTCTCATACTTTGTGAGCTCGATTTTCCTCAAAGTGGCTTTCTTCAAGTTACTGTTGATTTATACCAACTTATATTGGTGACGGGAGAAGTGAATCATACTCTGCATGTGTTGCTTTTAGGAGACTAGCAGTGAGACATTACATAATGCCAGGTTTGGTTTGGCCTTCTCCCCCCCCCCCCCTCCCTTTTAAAAAGCCTTCCTGTTCTGCCTTCAGCATTTGCTGCTTGAAGAACTGATGAGCTGCTCTGGGCATACAGCTGAGCCCTCACAAACTGTGCTGCTTTGAGCCTAAAGCCCTTAAGATCAAAGTGGTTGAGGCTGGAAGGGACCTCTGAAGGTCATCTTGTCCAACCGCCCTGATCAAGGGGGCCATCTGGGCCATCTAAACCCAGTTGCCCTGTACCATGACCAGATTTCTTTTCAATATCTCCAAGGGTGGAGATTTAACAACCTCCTTGGGCAACCTCTGTCAATGCACTGTCACACTCACAGTAAAGAATTGTTCCTTAAGTTTAAAGAGAACATCCTGTGTTTCATTTTGTGCCCCTTGCCTCTGGTCCTGTCACTGGGCATCAGTGAAAAGAGCCTGACTCCACCTTCTTTGCACCCTTCCTTCAAGTATTTATATATATTACTAAGATCCCTCCCCCCTAGAAACTTCTCTTTCTGGGCTGAACAGTCCCATCTCTCTCAGCCTTTCCCCATAGCAGAGATGCTCCAGTCCCTTCATCATATTAGTGATGCTTTACTGGACTCTCTCCAGTACATCCATGTCCCTCTTGTTCTGAGGAGCCCTGAACCAGACAGCACTCAGGTGTGGCCTCATCAGTGCTGAGTAGAGAGGAAGGATCACCTCTCTGCTTGCAACACTCCTCCTACTGCAGCCCAGGATACCATTAGTGGCACAAGGACACTCTGCTGACTCACCATCAGCTTCATGTCCACTAGGTCCCCCAGGGCCTTTTCTGCAAAGCTGCTTTCCAGCCAGAAAGCCACCAGCCTATACTGGTGCCTGGGGTCTTCCCTCCCCAGGTGCAGGACTTTGCACTGATTCTTCATAAGGTTCCTGTCAGCCCATTTCTCCAGCATGTCAAGGTCCCTCTGGATGGCATCACAACCCTCTGGCTTACCAGCCACTCCTCCTCATGTGAGGTCACCTACAGACTTACTGAGAGTACTCCCTGGCCCATCATCCAGATCATTAACAACATTAAACAGAACTGGACCCAGTATTGACCCTTGGGGTACACTACTGATCACTACCCTCTGGACACAGTCATTCATCCATCTCACTACCTGCTCATCCAGTCACTACCGTCAATAGTGTGCTCACGTTTTCCCTGGCCTTTCTTTTGTTACCTGTGTACTTATTCAAGCCCCTCTTGTCTTTGACAGCCCTTGCTAGGTACTATTCAGCTGTACTTTGCCTGTCATAACCTCATCCCCAGCTGTTCAATTTTTCTGCATTCTTCCCAACCTTGCTTCCACCCTCTAACACTTAATTTATCTGTGTTTGAACTTTGCCAAGAGTTACTTAATCATCCACACAGGCCTCCTGGCATTTTTGCCTGACTTGTTTATCTGTTGGGAAGGAACTCTTGAGCTTTGAGGAAGTGATCCCTGAATACTCACCAGCATTTTTGAGCCCCTCTTCCCTTTGGGGCCTTGCCCCATGGGACACTTCCAAGCAGATCTTCAAAGAGCCCAAAGCCTGCTCGCCTGAAGTCCAAGGTTGTGAGTTTGCTCCTTACCTTCCTCCCTGCTCTTCAGATCCTGAACTCCACTATCCCATGGGCATTGCAGCCAAGGCAGCCTTTGACCTTCACAGCCCAAACAAACCCCTCCTTATAGGGGAGTATGAGGGCCAGCAAAACACCTCTCTTGAGCTTCCTTATCACTTGGGTCAGGAAGGTGTCATCAATGCACTCCAGGAACCTCCTAGATTGCTTATGCTGTGCTGCTGCATTGTCCCTCCTGCATATGGCAGTGTGGTTGGAGTTCCCCATGAGGACTAGGGCCTGCAAACATGAGGCTGCTTCCAGCTGTCTGCAGAAGGCCTCATGCGCTTGTATTTCTATCTACTACAGTGTCACCCTTAACTGTTTTCGATTTAATCCTCACCCATAAGCTCTCAGTGGGCTTCTCATCCAGCCCCAGGCAAGTCTCCCTGCATTCCCTCTGTTCTCACATTGAAGGAAACTCCACCATCTTCCTCTTCCCCACGTCTTTCCTACAGAGCCTGCATGCCTCCACTGCAACACTCCAAGTGTTCCAAGTTGTGGGAACCATCCCACCACATATATGTGGTCCCAAGAAGACTGTAGCCTTTCAACTGCACACAGGTTTCACACCATGTTTGTTCCCCACACTGTATTCACAAGCATACACGCGCTTCAGAGAAGCGCTTCAACACGCTTACTTCCCAGAAAGGGTTTGGGGGGATTTTCCCATAATGGTACCTCATAGGTGTGTCTTTGCTTACATGCAAATACTAGAAGTGACCCCACTTAAGCCTCATTTTGTATTACTTTTGTGATCCCTTCCTGTTACATAACCCCACGCCCTTTGCTCATTAACCCCATCCATAACTTTCACAGCGCTCCTGGTAACTATCCCTGCCATATCATAACTAATTTGAAGGCCTCCCTATAAGATCAGCCATCCTACTAGCAGATATACCTTTTCCCAGCTTGGTGTGGTAGATGCCATCCCTCCCAAGCAGATGCTGCTCCAAAAGCAGAATCCCATGGTCCTAAAACTCAAAAGCCTGTCACCAGCACTAGTTCTGTAACCAACTACTCACCTGCACTGAGGAGAACATCACCAGGTCCCCCAAGCCTTTGACTGCTGCCCCTAGTTCTCTGTAGTCACTTGACGCTCTCCAGGTTCTCCCCGATAGTATCGCTGATGCCCAGATGGAAGAACAGCAGGGGTAGCAGTCAGAAGAATGGACAAGCCCAGGCAGTCCCTTCGCAACACCCCAGCTCTGGGCCCCCACCAGGCAGCAAGCCTCTCTAGATGATAGAGCGGTGAGTGTGTCCCCCCTGCAGCAAGGAATCATCCATTACAGTCACTCACACATTCTTCCCAGAGGTCTTGCATGGTTTAGGGTCAGGTGGCCCATATCTTTTGCTTAAAGGCACATCTGGTTCTCCTTTTAACACCAGTGGTAAACCTGTTTTGTAGCTACAAGCCCTTAGGTGGGGTAGGAACTTTCTTTTTAGTGCCACAAGTCACCCACTTCTATCCTCCCCCTTCTCCAGTGGTTTCACTCACCTTGGTGGTGGTGGTGGATGCTGCCTGCTTCATTATTGCAGGTAGAGGCTGAGGTCCTTCCAGCTGCCGAATTTCAGAGAAAATACTGTCTCCCATGAAACTCCTTTGGTGCTACCCAGCCTGCTTCCTTCCTCCTACAACTCCTTCACATGGCACCACAGATCATTCAAAACAACATACCTCCTGCAGGACAGAGGGCCATCGCTGCCAGCTTCAGAGAGGCCCTAGGCACTCCCTGCACCTTCGAGTGCTGTGCTTATCATCCAAAACCCTGCCTGCATCAAACCCTTTACCCTAGTGAGGGCAGCTGCTCCAAGGTCTGCTGGTGGAAATGCCCTGTGGCATGCCTCCACCACCATATCTGAGCCTGCTTACACTGGAGCATGTCCAGCTGAGTCCTCCTTCACAACAGCCTTTTACAAAAACTTCTGCATTTAGTAATGGGGCCTTGGGCCTGGCTTTTATATAGACCTCCCCAAGCACTGGCTAAAAGGGTGCTTGACCCTCCCTAATTAGGGGGCAGGTGCACCCTGGGTAGCTCATTAGAAGCTGCTAGAGCTTCTTCAGGCCCATGGTCTTGTGACTCCCCTTATCTCGTCCTTACCTAGCATCAGCAACACCCTCAATTTTCTCAGAGGGTTCCCAGGTGTTTCCCAATGATCCTGGACCACATTGTCCCCAAAAGATCCAGAAGGTCCCAAAGCAGGACCCCGAGACAGCTGCGCAAACCTGGGTTGAGTACCTCTGGGAGCTGTGCTCGTTCCTTTGTTGATGGTGTACAGACAATTTGGTACAGGGCTCAGCTGTTGCTTTCCTAAATTTACCCGTCATTTAGGTTGGAAACAGCATAAAAATAACTGGCGTATTTTCAGCAAACACTCATTTGCGGGTGCTTTATACCTGTCTGGTGCTTCAGTTCTGAACACGGAGGTAGCAACATCTTTTCAACATATGACCTCAAATTGTCCCATATGAGGGCTGTCCACCCTTGATGCGATACCGCAGTGCACACAAGAAAGGCTCACGTTCCTGACATGGCAGCGCGGTTGTTTCTAAGCAGAGATCTGCGTGCTGAATAACAGCAGGGCCCATTCCTGCCAAAACGTTAGCCCGAGTCCCTTAGCTGATTTTGATAAACGTTGTGCGGAGTTTACATCTTCAAGGGTCATCTTGCATGCATATCAGCAGCCAGTTGATGAGCCTGCAGTGTTGAAAGAGTATAAAATGTAAGCATTTATTTTGCAAGCGTTCAGAAAATGGCATAGAGGGGGTTTTGGTTTGCAAGGGTTTTGTTTTTGCTTAATTTAATCCATGCAAGCAAACAGCCTCCATCAGTTAATAACTTTTCCTTTGATTTTTAGGTTCAAATAAACCAAAATCTCAAAGCAGAACTCATTAAAGTATATTGAGTTTCATCTCCTCTTTGCATCAAACGCATACGTTATGCAGCTGGAGCTGGTCTCCTAGGGCTGGATTCTGAGTTTACCTTTTATCCACAGTTTACTTGGTGTGTTGCCACACACTGCCTCGAAAGGGAAGGGAGCAGTGATTGAAACAGCTTGTTTGCATCACTCGCGAGCTGTGGCACAGAGAATTTAAGCTGTTGCTGACCAAAGGCCTTTCTGGGCAAATGCTGCTTGGACGGACTCATCTTGGCAGTTGCTGAGACAAAAAGGAAACGCAAACCTCCTCCCCGGAGCCATTAGAAAAGGGGGTAGGGCAGGCATGGCTCTGGAAGCATGTCTGTCTCGCCAGGAGGGAAGAATGGTGACATTGTCTGAAAGTTCAGTCAGGAGTTCATCTTCTACCTTGTTTTTTTTTTTAATTCCCTGCTTTGGAAAATATCGTTTAGGCTTCCCTTAAATAGCAAACCTGTGGTGTCAGTCATGAGGGCTGGGGAATGAAGTACAGCAGAGATTTCTTACAACTAGTCTGGTTTATGGGCCCCGGGTGTAGGAGAGAAGAGGCTGGGCAGCAGACATAGGTTTTACAAAGTGGCTGCTGTAGAAAAAAGAATGGCTCAGGCTTGTACCCCCTGTTTTCTTGATGATTTTTTTTTTGCTACCCTTAGGGAATACCATGAAGAACCGAATATGTTTATGTTTATTCTCCCACATTGCTGTATGAGTCCAAAAGTGTTTATGGTGCTGTGGCAAATTCCATCTGAGCCTTCCATTTTGAACAGAACAGAAACAGAAGATGGTGGCGAGAGGAGTGCACTGCTGTGGGTCATGATGCAGCCTTCTCCAGGAGCGCTCCCGCTCCTCCTCCATAGCTGCTAAATAGGCCTGGGGATTTCTGTTTCAAAACAGACTTAAAAACGCCTCCCTTCCCTCCCATCAAAACATTGCACTGCATTCTCTTTTTGCAGTTGCAGATCTGTGTTTTTAACTGTTAGGTTTCTTTAAAATGTTTGGAAAAATTCTTCAGTTCGGAAAACCGGCGCTAAAATGAGGTCAACTTTATTTGCACTCCCAGGAAAAATCTGGTTGGAGGAAAAGAAGTGGTGAGCGTGTGATGTACATGAGCCTGCCTGAACGATGCTGCCAAAATATCTCACAGACTTGCTTTTGTAGCAGGTTGTGGGAGTTAGCTCTGGGTGAGTCACGCAGACAAATGGCAAGGGCCCTCTTCATTTCCCAGCCCGAATAAAATTACCTCTT